GCCACTGTCCAGAACAGCAAGGATCAACTATTTCCTACAGTTCAGCCGCCCCCATCTCCTTATCCTCCCTCGTCCTCGCTACCCTCCCTCACTGTCCCAGCCCTCCAAACTCACTATCGCGGCACACAATGCCATCATTTTGTTGTTCTCTTACTACCCAGCAGCCCAAAATAGCAATCGGTTTCTATTTTGATTGTTGCCCCAAGTTATTATGTTGTTTCAATAGCTGCCCATTCTTCCTACCACCTCCCTATAGCGACAGTCCTCTTTCCACAGCCACAAACCGCCATCCATTAGCCTTCATCCTCGTCATCTCCCACGGATGTCTTTTATTGTTTATGTTGTCATGTTTGTTTGTCGTCCACTTCCTACTTTCCCGTATCGTGTTTGTAATATGTTTGGAATTCATAAATAATATTTGTGTTTTTTTTGTTGTTTCTATTAACTCCAATATCAATTAGTTTTAGAGCTAACCCAACCCTAGTCCCATCCCAGAGTTTCTAGCATCCGCCCCTACCCAATCCACCACACCAAAATTTTCCTTCTTTTGTTTATTTTTTTATTTTTTTTTTCATTTTTTTCTCTTCTTTCTATCTTTCCATCTTTTCTTTCCTTCCACAGGTCCAAAACCATCAAACATGCCGCCAAGAACTATTCCTGAGACTACCCGAGAAGAGATACGGTGAGAGCTTCGTCGTCTTTAACGGATGCTTATGGATATTGAAGATAACATCCGATGGGAGGTTACCCTCAACTGTGATCGGGAGAGTGGAAGGCGAGAATGACAGAGTCTAATGATAAAGCAGGAGACATAGTACTGGTTCATACCAACTTACTACCGCCAAACAATGCAGATCCAAGCATCAGAAATGGAGAGACCACATCACCAGGCGACGCCTTTTACTAATATCCAGCGAAATCAATCTGCAAGTCTGTCAAAGCCAGAAAATGTTGCAAATGCCACAAATTTTGACATGTTGAAGCAGAATACACAATCAGGGGTATGATCTACTTCACCGAGCAGGGCGTCATTGAAAAGTTGGGTAGAGACACCGTAAGCACTAAAAACAGTGAGGACATAAACAAGGAGAACCCACTTCAAGTTAAAGAGATGAATGGTGATCAAGAAGATGATACTGACTTCAGAGAGGATTCTCATTTTTCAGCCGAAGAAGAGACATCACCAAATCCAGTTGACCTCTAGATAGAGATTACAGCTGAGGTGATAGTCACTGCTTTAGGTGTCTCTAAGGTAATAGGCAGCCCAGCAAATTATGAGATTAAGGTGACTCGAGCTAACAGCTTGAAGATGGTGAGAGGTACAATAGTAGGAATGATCATGGATGTCTACAAGAGTTATGAGTTTGAGGAGCCGATGGCATATATAGGTCCATCCCGAATAAGCGAGAAGCAGATTTTTCAAATGTATAGGCCGCATCTCGAGTTACCTCGACGAAGAGAGGTCTAACATGTCAAAAATGAGCTCATTGTGTGCCATATCAATTGCATGGAGATACTTAGAGGTTACTTTCAGGTCAGCAGGGGGCACCTCATCAGATATTCGGATGGGAGAGATGAACCCCAGCTTTGTGGTGGACCCGAGGATCTTGAGGGAGAAGAAAATTCTGCAACGGGATCCATGTCATATCTGTGGGTAGGTCTCTCCTGAGGGGAGTTCCAGTGAGAGTGACGCAACTTGCCATAGATTCATCTCAGAATTGAGTTCTCCTCGCATACTTATTGCTCAGCCATTGTACGCTAAACATGAAAAGTGGAAGGAGAAGATTTCAGATGGAAGCTCGAGAGTTGCCTTATGGGAACCCATCTCTGTATGTAGCTCCCGCTCAGGATGGCCAAAAGAGAATGACTAACACTTCTACCATAATGTGTTATGGAATGACTACACCAACATGAAAGAACTACTAAAGAACTTACCATTGTACCGTAAGAAACAAAAGCTTCGACGGGAGAATTCGAAGCTCCCCCAACCCTGGGAGACTGACACGAGGCTCATGGGGGACAGGTTGGGCGCAGGTCCAGCCCAGCGAGACTGGCCAATCCTCTTCGAGGGGGGCCCAACCGCCCCTCCATCCTTCCCTTTCCTTTCCTTTTTTCTCTCTTCTCTTTCTTTCCTTCCTCTTCCTTTTTTCCTTTCTAGGCCTTTCTTAATTTAAATCCTTTCCTAAGAACTTAAATTTTGATTTTATTCTCCTTCTTTAATTTTGATCTTTTCCTAAATATAAAATTTGATTATTATTCTTCATTCATATTTTAAAAGTCTTTCTTAAAATCTGAAATCTAATTTTTATTCTCCTCATTTTAAATGTTTCCTAAGATAGGTCATGTCATTTTATAAATAGGAGAGGATGTGCTTTGATTTAGGGGCCTATTTATGAAATCTGAATTCAATTCTGTCTTAATATTTTCCCTTTTGAGGGTTGTATCCGACGTCAAGGTAATGCTTTGGTTGCCCCTTTTCCGAAATGGTGATCGTCTCCACGGATCCATGTGATGCTCCGGCTGTAGCTCGACCCGACCGGGATATTTATCTCCCAGTCCAACCTCCTAGTTGTTGCCCTGCTTCTTCCACAATAGCCCCACCTCTTCCACATTCAGTGCAACCGCCAATCCAGCTTCGAACGATGTTCTTGCACCTCTACAATTGAATTCTACGTTGTTATCATCACCACCCTTGCTGCCACCACCCAAAACAGCAAGGATCTACTATTTTCTACAGTTTTAGCCGCCCCCATCGCCTTATTCTCCCACATCCTCACTACCCTCACTGTCTCAGCCCTACGGCTTAGCTATCGCAGAACGCAACGCCGTTGCTTTGTTGTTTTCCTGTTGTCCAGATGCCCCAAACAGCAACCGATTGTTGTTTTGACTGCCGCCCCAAGCTGTCTTGATGTTCTGGTGACTGCCCATCCCTCCTGCCACCTCTCTACAGCCAAAATCCTCTTTCCTCAGGCACCAACCGCCATCCAGCAACTTACATCCTCATCATCCCCCACGGATGTCTTTTATTGTTTATGTTGTCATGTTTGTGTTTTGTCTATTTCATGGCTTCCAATATCATGTTTGTAATATATTTGAAATTCAAAAAAAATTTGTGTTTCCATTATTGTTTGGGTTAGCTTCGGTATCATTTAATATCAGAAGCTTCGATAGGTGAGATCGAAGCTCCCAAACCCCAGGAGACTGACACAGAGCTCATGGAGGACCGGCTAGGTGCAAGTCCACCCCAGCTGGTCGATCCAGTTGGAGGGATACCCCACCACCCACTTCTTCCTGCCCTTTTCTTCCCTTTCTTTTTCTCTTTCCTTTCTTTCCTTCCTTCCTCTTCCTTTTTTCCTTCTTAGTCCTTTCATTTCCTAAAAGCCTAAATCCTGATTTTATTCTGCTTCCTTAATTTAAATGTTTCCTAAAATATAAAATCTGATTTTTAATCTCCTTTACTATTTTAAAAGCCTTTTCTAAATCCTGAAATCTAGATTGAGCAATCCAACCTCCAATGACGTTCCTGCACCTCTCCAGCTGCGGTTCGACTGTATTACCATCGCCACGCTTGTTGCCACCGCCCAAAACAGCAAGGATCTACTGTTTTCTGCAGTTCCAACTGCCCCCATCGCCTTATCCCCGCTCGTACTCGCTGCCCTCATTGTCCCAACCCTCCACCTTCCCTGTTGCAGCCCACATTGCCTTCGTTTTATTTTTTTCCTGCAGTCCAGCAGCCCCAAAGAGCAACCGGCTACTATTTCACAGCCATCCCAAGCTGACTTGCTATTCCAGCGGCTGCCCATCTCTCCTGCCACCTCCCAACAGCTGCAGCACTGTTTCCTCAGCCACCAACCGCCGTCCAGCAGCCTCCGCCCTTATCGTCCCCAGGATGCCTTTTATTGTTTATGTTGTTATGTTTGTTTGTCATCTATTTCCTGCTTTCTCGTATTGTCTTTGTATTATGTTTGGAATTCATAAATAATATTTGTGTTTCCGTTGTGATTTGAGTTAACTCTGGTATAATCCACACTTGCCATTTTATTACGAGCAGGCAGAAAGTATGTATCTTATAAAATTGTAGATAGTTTATTCTAGGAACAAAGACTATAATCACAAAGTATTTGATCATGTGATGAGTGATGAGAGCAGAAATATGCCTATCATCTTAGCATGCATTTAGAGATATAACTGCTGACTCTAAAAATTAGCATTATCATTGAGAACTTGAACCATATTTTCGATTGAGCTTGAATTTAGATTGAATCAAATCCTGAAATCAATTGATGGAGTATATATTGTCCCGATTCCTCAATTATGCAAACAAGGATAAATTTGATGGACCGTTAAGGGGGCTTCTGGCCAAATTTTGTTGGGTTACAGCTTTTGACAGAGTTTTTTTTTTTTTTTTCTGGTAGCATTGTGCTTTTTGAGTTCTGATGACCAGGACATCGCATAACTATTTGGCTGAATCGAGTGGATACATTAAAGACGTACAGTTTTTTCTGATCTTAAACCAAGATATGTGGATAATGATTAAAAAAAAGATGTGAATATATTACAAACCCTAACATATGATTCACGATACTACATAATTTAAGTTTATTTAACAAGATTCTGTTCAGTATTCCAGTTCATCTGCTAAACTAAAAGAGGTTTGGGTTTAGATGACTTAGACATGGCACGTATTCGGTAAAAGCAGAATAAGGCGATTCCTCTATTGGGGTTGGGGTGTGGGTGAGTTTTATGCATTCTTTTTTAGGCATTAGATCATTTCTCTTCTCAATCCCATTCTTCTACTGACTTCTAAGGTTCATGCACTATATTCCCTCATTATCTTCCTATTTTGTTGCCACGCTCTACAGCATAACTCCTAGGAATATTCTAAAGAAATATTTTAAATCCAATGAAAATTCATAAGAAAAAACTTGCTTATTCCTATAATCCATAAAATATGGTATATTCATACATATAATAAACAAAATTGTGTAAGTAAGACTTACGAATTCCCACCAAATTTAAGAAGAGCACCTTCCGATGGTATTGTGCCAGTCAAAAAGTTCATCGACACATTGCTTTAAATAGTTGCAAGAAGACAAAATACTTCATTAGAGTGCACAGATCAATCACTTGTTACATCTCCAAATTTTGACAAACGATGAAAAGATACTCACAATGATTTTAGTTTGTACAGCTTAGTAAGTGATGGAGGTATGGATCCGCTCAATGTGTTGCTTGAAACATCCCTAACAATAAAGAAGATAGATACAAATGAGAACATAGCCTAAATAAGTACCATTTATAACTGACAAAGATAAGGAGATTTGATAATCTAAAACAGAACATGTATCTTCAAAACGTATCGGACAGGCTATTGAACAGCCACGATATAGACTAAAGAAAACCTTCTCCCAACGTTATTTCCCATGTGACATGCCGCATTACCTGTCAGACAACATTGGCGAAGCTGTGCAAGAAATAGTGGGTGGGACTGTATAATAAATATTGAAACTTAAGAAAATTAAGAGCCCAGCCCAAATTCAATAGCAAAGAAAGCACAACAAAGCATTAAACCTATAGTCTTTCCAAGAAAAGGTAATCTACAAAGGTCTCTTTAATTATACCCAATTAAACAATGTAAATGGGAATATGATGTTCAAGCAACAACAATACAGTTAGCTGGGATACAAAAGCAAGCATGTAATTATGGTGGCAAAGAATAATTGGAAAACAAATTAAAAATAAAGTAATAACTTACAGATTCTCTAGCTCTGAGAGGTTACTAAATTCAGAGGGGATGCCACCACTTAAGTAGTTCCCCTGCAAGTATCTGCAGAAATATACCCCAAATTACAAAATATCGCAACAAAAAAGAAATTGCAATTTAGTCATGACAGGTAATTAGATGAATATGCTATAAGATGATAGGTTGCAAACATAATACTGAAGTAGAAACTTGTGATAAAAATCCTAATATTAACAATAAATAACAATTGATACATATTATCATTCCCAGTTAAGAAAACTTGCACTTGCCAATTGCAACTATAAAAGCAAGCAACTGATGAAGTGGCTTTAAAGCTGGAGCTTAATCAAACAAAATATGCCGAAACGCGTCAGCTAAAGCATGTATATTATTGTTTCTTTAAAACAGTTTTAGCCAACAAAAATGATGGCATATTTATGCTACTCAATAATATTTATTGTGCATTAAATGTACATGCTAGATTTAACCATTAATTTACATCCTCTACCACAGAATAAAAAAGAAGAAAAAAGTCCAGAGCTAACTCGAATCCCAGCTTACATGCAATTTTCTCTCTTTATTTCGCAGAAGAAAAATTAGAACTTACAAAATCTGTAAATCAGTACAGTTTCCAAGCTCAGGAGGAACAGTTCCGTATAAACTATTGCCGTGAAGAGCTCTATTGCACAGATAACAAGCATATTACAAGATGAGTAACAAAGAAGCCAATTAAAATCATTTGAAATATAAATGGCAACTTACAATATCTTTAAATGGTTTATCTTTCCAATCTCCGGTGAAATATATCCAATCAACCTGTGATTGGACAGACTCCTAGAAAAATGCAAAATTCAACCGCCCATTAATAATATAAACAAATAAACTTGGACAAACTACAGATAATAAGACATTAGATACTGTTGTTTCAACTGGACAAAATTTAGATCCTAAAAAGTCCCAGCATGGGCTAAATGAGCTGTAGCAGCATGTTAACTTTTTCAACAGATCCATTTAATAGTTGATAATCAAAAGCTAAGGACGAAAAATAGCTCTAAATAACTGCAATCTTGCAGGTATAAGCACATCTCAATATACAATCAATAAAGATTTTTCGATAAATGTTATAATACTGTTGCATAGTGACGTTAAAAAAGTGTCACGTGCAATTATCATTGATGACAATTATTAAAAAAAAATCAAGGGATGAAGAAAAGTTCCCTTCATCATATCATTCTCATGCCAAACAAACAAATGCAAATCATTCATGAGTAAATAATCCATGAAACCATGAAAAAGTTCAATTTACTCATAATGACAACCATTACAATCTAAAAAGCTGTGTTTTCCAGTGTGGGATTTCTAGAGCATTTCTTCGTATTGTTTTCATTTTATCCACTTCTGGCCGAAATCAATAATATCCCGAGATCCAATTTTTCAGCTTGCTTAATGTTTCTGATGGAGTGGCAGCACAAAAAGCATGCAAATAATAACTTTTAGGTTTAAGGGTTAGTGAAGGCTGGCACAGCTGTAAGAATAAGAAATTTCACCTAGGTAGATTTCCATGTGTCTCACAAAGCTCCTAGCATCTGTAGAGAAGAATGGCATCTTAAAAATCCTAGAGTGCGTGCTGCAGGATTTATCTCAGCAGCTTTCAAAAGCAAGAAATAATTAATATCATACATCAACCAAGTCAAAAAGAGCACGCAAACTCTAGCAATAACATGGGGGATTACTTGATAGCCCATATTGGGCTATAATATATGAGTCAAAAAATTAAAAAACTAAATAATTAATTTTTTAAAAAGAAACATGTGCCCCAAAACGATAAAAAAGACTGAACATTTAAAATCTTCTAATGCATGTTCTGATATCTATTGGCATATCGACTGATATCTATTGGCATATCGACGGTAACAATCAAAAGATCAATGAGCTCCATCAACTCTCTAAAGGACAGAATACTACTCCCAAGAGTTATGATACCTGAGTTCACCCAAATCACTAATTGTAAGGACCTAAAGCATGTGATCCTTGTATCGGTGGCTGGAGCATACTTCTAATCACATCGAAAACATAATCTCTTCGCTCTTTTATCCTGCACCTCTAACTCCGTGGGGCACTTGAAGTTGGCGTCTAAACGGGCCCTCCTAGTCCTCTCTTTCAGTGCCTCCCCCCAAAATGACATTATTTGGGTCCTCAATGTCGGGATTGTCAAGGTACTATGGCCCTCTTCAACTAGCTCTCGTCTTCCACCATCTGGGTTTGCTCTATCGTCTCCCCCAATCCCATTGGTCTCAACAGTCGAAAGGCTGCATATATGTCGAGCTTTAGTCACCATACAATTTCCCTCCGATGTTGCTTTAGAATCTCACTCAGTCATCCCGAAAATAACTTAAATCTCATCCTATACTACATGATAGTCTCATTCTGAGTCAAGGCAAAGAATTGTTCCTGAAGGACTAATTCCCAAATGGTCAGAAATGTTCCAAAAAGCAATCCTTAAATTCCTCTAATGTGTGGATCTGGTATATGGTCTCTCTCCACTGAAACTATTTTAGGGCTTTCCCCTCCAAACATAACCACATGGTCATGAGCTTCTCCTCATTTAGCACAATCACCATAAAATATCACTCCACTCAATAAACCCAACCCATATGTGTCTTCCCACTGTAATATCTACATCTACAACTTCCTAACCTTAGCATCTCCACCCCAACTCCCTCTCTCTCTGGTGGTTCCCTCCCATGTATCTAAAGTGAAAATTCCTCCTTCAATCACAGCCATACCTCATCTCGATATCTCGCCTTGCTTCTTCTTACTCCCCCACACCCCTTGCATAACTCATTTCCCATGTTTCGGGCAAGCCCCTTCAGAAATCCCTAATCCAACTCCCATTGGAACCCTACGAGGAGGTTCTTAATGGCAGATGTTTTCCTCCTTATGTTCCAATCGTCTGATATATTTCCCTTTAGATTTAGCTAAGAATTCTCCGATCAAACCTTGACTAGGAATTGCAATTCAAAAATAAGCCTTCTCATCTCCTCCAAGCCCTCAAATCGATTTTCCATAAAGGAAAACTTCCTTCTATGGCTGAGAACCTTTCCTCCATCCCAGATTTAATTTGTCCTACTTCTCCTTCCAATCTCTCTTACAATGCATCAACTTTCTTTATTGTCATCTCTCCAAGATCTTGCTCTATTGCCAATTTGATATGAATCAGAGCCAAAACTAACAAACTAATTGTAAGAAAACTGTGGGAATCAAACCATAAAACAAACCCTAAGTGATTAGCCCTGATAAAAGAGCAAAATAAATTCAAACTTTCCCCCTAAAGCACATTCAAACCTTCCCCCTAAAACCCGTCTAATTCCTCTCCTCGCATACATGATTAAGGGCGTAATGAGCCTCACCCGGGTACTGGAATCCTCCCAGACAGAAACTGAGGCTATCGCCACCCTAGGATGGGTTGACTGACTTGGTTGGGCCAGTTGGCCTGGCTGTGTTGGGTTGATCCAGAACGAACCGGCATAGCAAACACTTGCGCACTTATATTAAAATAAGAGTATCAAGCTTCTCACTATCGAACCTTAAGAGAAAAGAGATTATACATCCACCACATGAAGCTTCTTTCAACCTAAGCCCATAACCACCCGTAAAAGGACTATCAAACTTCAATTATATTTTGGATCATGAAGCAAGGCTAGTCCATCTTAGAAAATAACTTATAAGCACTTCAGAGAGGTGCATAATAGACGAGTCAACATGGATATTGGGAGATTTCTCTATGAAAATATCATTTCATTCAATGTAAAAATCTCCCATTCTTACTTAAAAAAGAACCATTTCATAAGTCAAGCAGTGAAACTGCCATCCATATATGATTTGAGGATATGAGGAATTGAAGAATGAGCTAAATAATAAAAAGAAAGGTATAGAGAAGATTAAAAAGACTATTGAGTGAATCTTGAGTGACAATCATGGCTGACAGGTAGTACAACATAAAGAACAAAAATTTGATCAACAATTTGATAAATAATTCCTATTCCAAAAATTTCTTAAAATCCATGTTAGTGACCAGATAAAGGATGTAGAGTATATTTTTAAGCTGCTCAAAGGAGTGATAGATGATATTGAAGAGCATTTAGTAATCCTAGTCGCAACAAATGAAGTTAGCGCTCATATGGCAACTAACAGTAAGTTGACGAAAAAAAGAAAATATCCATATTTGACCTTGTGTTGCACACTGTATAGAAATGATTCAAAGAAGTATGGTTGCTTGATCCAGCATAAAAAAATTCTGAACAAAGAAAACAAAGATTAGTAGTACATTCATCTACAACCATTCCTAGGTATTATCTTCAACAAATAAGTTTTGTAAGAAAGAACTCCTATACTCTGTTATAACAAAAATTAGCCATAGTTCTTTAACTCTAAAGAGTATATTGAACGCTAGGTAACAATTGAAGATAACGTTCACTTTAACACAACAGTTTAGCTATGCATGGCAAAAAAAATTTGAGAAAGAAATAAAAAAAAATAATTTAAATGAAAGATTTTAAGTGTCACATATGCAATAAAAACCATATGACAATTAGTTTAAGTTTCGCAGATGGTGGATATAGAACTATGGATTTTATTTTCAATGCAATGGATAAAGCCAAAGAGTAAAAAGCCCATAAGACGTGAAGAGGCAAACTATAAAGAGAATTGGGATATCATTAAAGGGAAATGGGAGATTCAGTTCCACCACCATTTGCATGTCATTGAATATTTCAATCCTCAATTTTAATATAAGCTAAAACAAGTTAACCAATCCTGAGATCAAAAAGAATAACCCAAATAAAAGAGTAACCAAAAAAGAATAATTACTAAGGAGCTTGGTGAACCTCTAATACGGAGGCACAAAATGATGGATGATTAGCAATGAAAGAATAACCAAAAAAAAAAAAAAAGAAACCAGAGTCCACCAATATAGAGAAGAGGGAGCAGAGAGGAAAAAGCATAACAAGCTAATATTTCAATTCCAAAAATAACCTAAAAAAAAGCCAAGAATCCCTATTGATAGAAGTCAGACAATATAAATTAAGATCAATGATTTGAAATCAAATCTAATCCTATCTAAAATATAATTCTAACATATAATTGAAATAGATTTGTAACTAAAGCAGTACACAGAATCTTTGTTTCAAGAAGAGGGTGGACTCAAAAGGCATTTGAATAAGTATCATTTGTTTAACAATAAATAGATAGAGCTAGAGAGGTTATTTCATTTAAAAATCTCCTAGAACTCGAAAGACCACAATAATTAAAATACATCAAGGATATTTTAGTTTTATTAGGATTGTAAAGATGAGTAATAAAAATGCTTCCTAGAATCACCAACATAACTATTTATTTTCTCCCTCACCTCATTCTCAACCATATCCATGTACTCTCATTCCTCCTCATCTTAAATATCAATCATTTTTTTCTTCTTTTATCAATATTAATTCATAAGAATAATTATTTAATTTAAAAATAATGACTATCTTTAATAATAACAATTTAAAGATAATGAATTATTAAGGTGATTTCACTTATATTTATTATACGAAAAAAATCTATATCAGACTGCATTGTCTCACTAGAACTGAGATAAGATGGGCCTCATATTATATGAGATGCAAACCTCATATAATACCCAATGAGGCATAAACCTTATTGCAAATATTTCAAAAAAAAAAATTTGAAGCAAACGGCATATTGTGCGATTTTAAACCATGGCAACTAACTTATTTTTCTCAAAGAGATAACATGGTAGCGTATTTTACATGCTGTAGTGCAAAAAAAGGCATATACATAAATCCATAACACTTAAAATGTCAAGCATGTAAATAAATCTCCAAGTAACTATACATATTTGTATATTCCAATTGAAAAAGAAATTTATAAAGACAATCATAAAGTAAAACAGAAAAGAAGCCCCTCATGCACACAAATATACACAATCAAAAGAACATTCACCATGAAAAAGTTATATGTTCAGCCTAGAGACCGTTGTGTTAAGTGACTGTACGTACAAATGAGTTACTCTCTTTGATTGCGGATCGCATGCCACTCCTCTCCACTTGCAAGGATCAGGATCCTCTTGATTCCATTGAAGAAAGATACCATCAGAACCAACAATTGCTGACTTAAAACTAAGAAGTGCAGCACCTGTTAAAAAAAAGTTACACGTATCTAATTCTCACACATGGCTGAAAAAGAATAGGAAAATGTCTAAAATGGTATTAAGTTCAATTCCACTTTCTCTTACCATCTGAATTGATAGAACAGTTCACCATCACTGCAAAATAAACTAGTAAAATAGAACCAATTTGCAGGTTCCGATATTTCATCATATGCAAGCCCATCAAGATGCATGTCAAATGCGATAGGCAGAAAATTAATCCTCCAATAAAAGATCTAAGTGTGTCTCCATCATATAATTATTATCCATCATGCTCGTCATTTCCATCCTGCTGCTCAAGAAGAAAACTATACGTGACAAAAAAGTAAATATAAATAAAGGATAAGACATTTACTAAACATATAATCAATAAATATCATAAACCGCTACATCATACAGCACAAATAATTATCATAATTTTTGTAAAAGGATCCACAACCACAGAAGGATCAATTTAAATGCAAACAGAAACAATTTAAATTCAGAAAAAAGCATTGTACCGAGGCAGCAGACATCACAAAAAAGTGCACAATTCAAACCCAATTATAAATAACTTTACTTTTAAGTTTAAAAAAAAACTCTCCAATGCATTAGTTTGTACAAAAAAAATAATTACCTTTACAATCTTAAGAACTACCAAAAAGAGCAATTTTTCAGCAATTCCACCAACATCAAACACATCATGCTAAGCAATATAAAAGAATCTCAGTAAAAGAACTCATAAAGGCTGCATCTATCCCACCAAGATCATCTTCAAAGTTCTAACATGGATCAGAGAAAGATTTATTTCAAACATTTCTCCATGGAAAGAATGAATTAGTAAAATAAATTTCACTTAAATTTGTGGGAAGATGCAAGAGCAAAAATATGTGATTCAAATTATTGAATTGATCTCTAATTTATGAAAGGTCATTGACAAGTAATTTATATGTTAAATGATTAAACAAGAACCACAGAATGTTTGCTTTCCATACTGAACAAAAATGAAACCATCCAGATGCAAATTCCCTACAATGTCCATAAGCTCATAAGCAGCTTCTCTTGGATGGACACAGATATCGACAAATTTAGTTGAAATAAGAAAAGAGCTTCTCCTTCACATGATGGGATTAAACACATTGACCTCTTACAAGCTCAAAGTAACCTAAGAGTGCCAGGGAGATCACAGGAAGAAAGCAATAAGGATTTAGTGAATGCTACCAACACATTGACCTCCCCCAAGCACAAGCTGAGCTAAGAGTGCCAAGGAGATCAAAAGAATAAATCAAGATTTAGTGATTGCTACCAACTATGCATGCTTTTAACCATACCTCAAACAATAATTAACTTTTGTAGATAATAATGGTTTATACAATATGTACAAATAACTTCAACTACCATAATAATATCATAAATTAAATGTTTTTAAGGTTTTTATTGCACATACTTCTATGACCAGAATCATTTCTCGTATTTTAATGGCAAGCCTCGAGAGGTTGCAACCTCTACACATTTGTCTGATGCTAAGGATATTTTCAGTCTGCAGGAATAAAAATTGAATTTTACCCTTATAGGAAGCTTTTCAAGTACATGTAACAATCTAACTGTTTTGAGCTGTTTTAATGATGCAGCGTGTCAGTTCAGAAGGTGCCATAAGTTAGAAGGAAAACGACCTGTCAACAACAAGCCTTTATCCCACTATGTGTGGTCGGCTAGGAAAGAAAAAATTTATCTTCAACCTCCTCTTTCATCAACTTGGCTTGTATAAACAAGCATGATACAGGAATATTTTTAGAATGTTTTTTAGATGAAATGGAAATAGCCAGCAAATCCCTCCTAACCGAACAAATTGACTCGTTCTTTAATAATAAAACCTCACTTATCCACCTAAATTTCACTACAATTTATGAGGAAAAAGTAAGAAAATTCAATAAGCCCTGAAACCCTCTCCCAGCCATAAGTTTGCCAGCCGCAGGGCGTACACCAACAAGGAAGGCAGTCACAGAGCACAACAGGTCGGACAAATCGTAAACTCACACAACGCAGTCATACAGGACATAAAGTGACTGAATTTCAATTCTGTGCAAGACAGTCTACACTACAGTTGCAATTTAAAGCAAAGAACAACCAAAACCAGTAAAATTGAGCATTCTAATCCGCTAAATCGACGCAATACGCGGCGGTGCAACAGCGTAGGCAAAAGACTGAAAGAGAAAGCTGAAAGCAGCTTACTTGCATCTGGTGTGTGCAGTGATTCAGAAAAGTAAAAAAAAAGCGACGAGCAAAGGCAGGCATGAATGTGGATGAAAAATTGGTGGAACCCTAGAATTTACGCGGGCGTCAAGATAGATGAAAGACTGGAGCCGGGGAGATGTGGATTCACCGTATTGATTGAAGGAGGCGAACCGCCCTCGTTTGCAGGAAAATAGAGAGAAGGTGGGTGTCTTGGTGCCCATAAGTCGGTTCACACGTGCGACCGACGCAATAATCGGCATTTACGGCTAGGCCTGCGAGTGCAATCAGGCTTGCCCCGCTTATCGGGTGACATGGCGTGATGTTTAGGAGATTTTTTTTTTTCTTTTCCAATAAGAAATATCATCTTGAAGAAGAAAATTAAGAAAAAAAAAACGGATTTTTTTTAAGTGCCACATTTTTTTTTTCATTTTGATAAATATTATTATAGTTTTATGTATTTTTGAAAAATTAGATGAGATTTAATATTAAAAAAGTATTTGTTATGATAATAGTAAATAAAATAGACTTGATTTCTTCACACTAAAATAGTGTAATATGGATAGCTTGATTATCAAATAGTAATCTATTTGCTATTGGGATATCATCTATCAAAAAATTAGCATTGGAAATCTAGGGAGTAAAAATGTAGATAAGCATGATAATCTCCTTACCAATATCATGTTTGCTATTAGAAACTCTTTTGAAGATTCCATTTCTAAAATAACATTCTTGATCTTTCTTTTTGGATAAAATGATATAGAAACTTTAAATCATGTTCACCATACAGGGTTTAGCTTTAGCCAATTGAGCTCCAAAAATTTAGCAAGAGAAATATCTTCTTTTAACTTATGGGTTTTAATGAGTAGTTTCTTGTCTAGCAAAAAGTATTCTAATAAATCATAGTTTAATTTCTTGTCTATCAGTGATCCATCTTTAATTCTTCCTACAAAACTTACAATTTAAAAAAGTATGTAAAAGCATTTTTACCAAAAATATATTCAATGCCAAATTAAAAAAATTATACTTTGACTTGTCAATTAGCTGTTTTAAAGCTAAATTTTTAACATATGTCTTAATAATAGATTTATCAACAATGTAATCCATTTTGTTAAGTGCATTTTTTTAGAGCAAAAGAAAATATCATTAAATTAAAATAGGTTACACATCAAAGTTGGGGATATAACGAAAGGAAGATCAAGCCTATCTGCCTTAATAAAAAATAACAAAAAGTATAACAAATGGTGTCAACAGATATATGTTCGTAGGAGGCCTCAATCTTTGCAAGTCAAACTGTTAGTATTTTGGCCTCTCTAGGTACATAACATCATTGTATATTGAGTTGGTGTGCAACATGAGCAATTTTCCTCATGAGAAGTGACCCAACTAACAGTTACACAATTATTTAATTTCAGAGATACAGCCAAAAGCTTAACCCAATTCATATTTAGCGGCTAGTGTGAAAATTTAAATATTATATAAAGATGATAAAAAGAATTTACACACTAAGGATACTACGCAAGTAAATGTATCTTTTCAAGTGATATAAAGTTTTCCTTAAAAACCACAGTATCGATCCCAAGGGAAAAAGTCAAAACTTTTATAAAATTGACTTTAATAAAACCAACAGTTAACTATAGAAAGACTTATATAAAAAATGGTTGCAAGTTTTTGAGAAATATCTAATCCTATAGAATTAAAGGAATGCTGGAGTTTGGATGCACTTGGTGGTATGATAGTGAAAACCCCTGAATTTCAGTAGTGAAATTAGGGTTTTGTAGCGGAAATTAGGGTAGGAAAATGGTGGGGATTAACTTCTCTAGACTGTTGGAGGGTCTGGAGAAATTTTGGCAGTGTTTGACTAAGGTTTGAACATCCTCTTCTTCTTGGTCGTGGAGGGATCCTTTTTATAGTCATGGCCATGACTGCCAACTGGGCAAGCCAAGGCGGCAAAGGGGGAGCTTAGGTGGAGGGAAGAAGTGTTGTGGTGTCCAATAGGGCTTAGCCAGCTCAGGGGGATTTAATTTTGGGTTTTGACCATTTCGGGCTTCTCAGCCATGGTCTTTTTCGGCGGCTGTGGTGGCTGGCCAACCAGGGTCAGGTGAGCTAGAGAGGTTGAGTGGTGGAGTCAATTTGAGTTAATGGTGACTCCATGGTGAGTATCCAATAGGAAAGTGAGGTTTGGGCTAAGTTGGATAGTTTGGGTCTGATCCCATGGTTACTTGGCTAATCATGGCCCCAAAATGGTTAAGGTTGATATTTAAGGTCCTTAAGTAAGTTTAGGTGAAGTCAAATGGCTGGATTGGGGATTGAGTTTAATTGTTTCATGAGGGTAAATCCAAGTGAGGGGGAGAATGAAGAGTGGTCACCTCCACTTGCCAAATTTGGCAAACTTGACTTTGGAATGGCCATGGAAGGCTTAATGAGTCATTCCATGATGCTTATGAGGCCATGGAAAAGTTTCATGCAAATGGCAATTTTAATTTTTATGAATTTTGGAAAAATCATGCCATGATGCTTAATTTAGATAAAGAGACATGTATGTTTAAGGAAATTTGGTATGACGCTATGGTGAAATGATTTAGATACCATGGGATGGTGAAGATGGAATTCTTTTCATGTAGGCTCAAGTTGGGCCTTTTCAAATTAATGAAGTGGGCTTTTAATATGCATATAAAGTTGGGCTTTTAAAATGCATGATGAACTTCAATTTTGAAATTGATGATGGGCTAGTCAAATTGAATTGGAATTAATTGATATTGCATTTAGACATGCTAGAATTTTGTGTGAATTTGAAATTGGGATATTTGATTAATTATGAAGCTCAATTTGGGGGATTTTGGATTTTAGGTCAGTTCGAGGCAATGGGTTTGAGCTTAGAATTTAGGTTTGAGATTGGGCTCAATTGGGCTTAAATTTGTTTTCAATTGGGTTAGGATATGATAAATTTGAGTTTAGAATTGAAATTGAGGAGATTTGAGATCAATTGAGGGCAAATCAAAGTGATTTGGTGACTTTAGGCACTTAGGGGCAATTTGGGGATTTTGGTCAAAGTTAGTCAATTTGATCAAATTAGACCTAATGGATGGTCAAGAATTAGTTTTAGGGGTGTTTGAAATGATTTTGGAGAATTTGAGAATTTTTGGGCCAATAGGGGTATTTTTGTAATTTTGATAAATTTGGGGTTATTTTGGTAAATATGAAAATGTTGGAGTGTTTAGAGTTATTTGGATGGTATGGAATGGTTTGAGATGATTTTAGAATAAAATTGAGGGATTTGGGTCAACTTTGAATTTTCAGGGTGCTAGGGGCAATTTGGTAAATTTGGGAAAGTTTAGGGCTAAAATGCCAAAATTGGGTGATTAGGTAAGGTTGAAGTTTAATGCAAATGTTGAACATAGAATTACCCTCATGGTGACATGAGATCAGAGAAACAACACTTTGGATTCTCCATGTGTTGGTCCTATCCACCCTAGCCAAAGACTATGGGTTTGGGGGACCACCCACATGGGTCTCCAAAGAGGCAAGGGAACCAAACAGGACATATGTAGGTTATGGTTCAAGGTTGCAAGTGAAAGTGTGAAGTGTAAGTATGTGTGTACTAGACCAAGCCACATCACCTAGGGTCAACCCTAAGGTCAAATAATCCTATGGGAACTCCTCTTGAGCTCCCTCATACTGTCCAAATCTGCTAAGTGCTAGAGGTTAGAACTAACATGTGTTAATATGGGTAAGGTTGGAGTTTGTCATATTAATATTACTGTTATTTTTTCTCTTGTTTATTGAAGTATATGGTTTTTTTTTATTCAGAATTTCTAATTGAGATATCTGATGCAGATGGATTTCTTGCGGATGTATTCAATAAAAGTATGCCAAAAAATTTATCCTCAAACTTCATAAATGTCATTTATGTTTTTTTTATTGGCTTGAGTGTGTCCTAAATAGACTTTAAAATTTTTGTTTCACTCTTCTTTCTATTGTGTAGGACATAATTGTGTTATCTTTTATGTTGGCAGAACCCTTGTGGAGGGAATGACATTTGGCTAAAACAGTTAAGATGGGGGATAGAGAAGGAGATAGGGAGCATGATAGGGATGATAGGGAGAGAGACCGTGAAAGAGAGACTGATAAAGATCGGGTGCGATGTGACAAAGGTTCATCTCATGTTTCCAAAGATCCAACCAATAACAAAGTTCCTTTGGTATCAAACAAAGAAATACTTAATATAGATAAATCGATTTCAGAGCGTGATGTATCATCTCATGAAATAATTAATCCTTGTTATCACCTGTTGTCTCCAAATATAAGTACAATATTTTCTAAATATTTTGGTTGATGTTATTCTAGACACATTCATGAACTGCCTCTAGTTTTCTTTTGCTTCATTGTTTTCTTAAGCAGCACCCAATGCCTGTTACAACCCACAGGACTAAGTTTGGCAATTCAGTACTAAACGATACATGAGAATCAATGGCTAGTGGTACTGAGGACTATTCTTTAAGAACACGCGGAAAAATCCATATGAGGAAAGTTTATTTAAATGCGAGGATGATATGTAAGAATTGTCTTCATGTTATAAGCCTTTAAAATATATTGTCAATAATTTCAATATTTCCATTATATAGCTTTATAATTTGATTCGTTCCACATCTCAAGTTTTTCTGAAAGAAAAGAGTTATTTTAAGAATATATTTTATTCTTGAGCATTTGAGGTAGGACAACTTAGGATTTTGTTTTTTAATGCAACTACTATGATAATATGATGTGTAGTATGCTTTCTTGTAAAGAAAAATATAGGATTTGTAAGTTTCAAGTATTTAATTAATTCAACAGTTCACTTATTCTAAATGAAAATAAACAATGTTAGAATATGAGACCAGTTGATAATGAAATGATAAAAATAGAAGAAGTTCAACAAAATAAAAAAATTGAGATTAATTAGCAAATAGATCGAATTAAATTTCAAAAACTTAGATTTATGATGTGCCACCATTTACATCGTTTGAATACAGTCAAATGCATTAAACAAGTCAATAATTACTTGTGCGGATAAAATATAATATGGACCCAATTGATATAGTTCAATTTATACGACATTAAAATGAATTACATAACGAACTTATACCCACAAGATTAAAATTGAAAAGATAATTTTATTCAAGCTAAGTTGTCCAACCCCTTCATGAAAATGAATTACACTCAAGAAAATAAGTCACAATCCCTTCATGAAAATTCATCTAA